TGTAATCTATTCTCATCACGGGCTTTCTTTGAGCCTTTTAGCTAGGCGCTATTTGTTTGGTTCTTCGCTCATAATCATTATATCTAAGTTTTGAAGTATGTGTGTGATAATTATGTGCATGGTCGTTCAGACATTTGTATAAATTATCTCTATCTGTTTATGACAAAAAAGCGAGGAGGTCCGTTACTCTAAGTATCTGTGTACCTTCATCGTTATCGATATGAGATCTAAGCCAGGATTCTCCAGATGATCGGAGATGGAGACCAGCCACACTCTTCATCTGCAGCATTTAATGGAACAACAGCTGAAAAGGTATAAATTAGTTCTTAGCAATATGAAGGCCGCTGTCTCGTTCTGCAGTCAAAAAAGTTTTTCCATGATACAGTCGATTCGTTGACCGCAGGGACTGGACATCATTGCGGAGCACGCGCCGCGAGGTAAAACGCTCCAGTACAAGTTCGCCATTGTACAAATTGTGCTCTCGCAACATTTCAGCCGCGCCCCGCGTAGTCCGCAATGTTTGAGCAGTCCATGCGGTCAACGAATTGACGATACACTCTCGGCATCTTAAGTACCCTCTGATTCAACCAGATGTCAGCTGGAGGGCGGGGCTTTGATCGATTGGAGGGTACGTATGCGAGGGGTTGCAGAGCCTGCATCTCCAATGCTTACGTGCTCTCCAACCGATCGAAGCCGCTCCCTCCAGCCGCCAGTCTATTTGAATCGGAGGGTATACAGTAGTTGGAGATGTATTTTGTTGCGTTTGACTCGTAAAAAAGCAAAACAAGAATAATACTTTATTTATTAGTAAAATAGGGTTGTTTGACTTTTTCTGGAGCGTTGTTTGACTTTTTCTGGAGCATCTCGTGCGCACTTGTATTTGAGTGAGTATCTAAGCTTGAGTGTACTTTTCTGGGTAGGGTCATTAATTCTACCAATAGTTTTTACGCAGTTTTTGTGTCATTTGCTTTTGCTGTATCAGGCAGTGAGAATAGCAAGAAAATCACATTGATTTCGGCAGCGTTTGCTCGTAAAGAAGATCACTCCTCCTTTCATTCACTTGTTTTAGTTCGCCCACCATCTAATGGAATCTGTAGAGAAGTTTCACCTGAATGCGAAACATCGACAATCGCCAGTGCACATAGTGAAGGCGCTCTCTGCG